GCTTTACTAAAAAAAAAAAAAAAAAAGCTGTATTGTAGCAGCCAATATGAAATCTTTCCTAATATGAAAAGTCAAAAAGAATTAATATTATTTCAATTTCCTTTTCCCAGAATAATGAGATTCATTATTTTATAAGTTTAATAACACTTCTTGTGCTTCTGTGAACTAGCTACCCATCCATTTTTTTACTATTAAAGTTTTAATAGATTTTCTTTATTTGCAGAAACTCTTTTATAAACTGACCTTTACTGATAAAATTTGCGAAACTGTCTTTTCTAGTTCTTTTTGATTTTTTAATTGTGCTCTCTAGTATACAGAATTTTTTAATGTTTATGAGTTCAATGGTGCTGACTTTTCATGTGCAATTTCTTTTATCCTGAGTATAAATACTTATCCACACATCAACAATATAGAAAATTCTTACTGCTCTCAACAAATCAATATTATTATTTAGAAAAATAACAATAAAAAATTTGATATTGACATTTAAAAAATGTTTATTCACCATTTGTATTTCTTATTTTATAGATTACTCTGTTCTATTTGTTTTTCTGATTTGAATGATTATCTTTTTTCCTATTAAAAGCTCTTTGTAAAGACATGTTCTTCAGTTTTTATTTATCTTTACCTTGCATAAAATTTTAATTGTTTATATTTTAATATAGAAACATTTAAAAATATTTTCTACTAAATATGGCCACCTCTGACTTCAGGATGTCTCCATCACTCTCATACTTCCCGAGCCCTTCACAGTTACCGCTCAGAATCTAAAGTGTGTAGATCCTACACTGCAGTGATCCCATTTTGAGGAATCTCTTCCATAAAAATACTACATATATACTATGGAATACTATGCAGCCATAAAAAAAGGATGAAATCATGTCCTTTGCAGCAACGTGGATACAGTTAGAGACCATTCATTATTCCAAGCTAACTAATGCTGGAGCAGAAAACTAAATACCACATGTTCTCACTTAAAAGTGGGAGCTAAACACAAGACACACACAGGTAGAAAGATGAAACAGCGGAAACTGGGGACTCCTAAAGGGGGAAGGAGGGGGAAAGGGCTGGGAAAATATACCGGGCACCATGCTCACTATTTGGGTGATGCCATAAACAAAAGCCCAAACCTTAGCACCTCACAGTATACCCATATAGCAAAGCTGCACATGGACCCCCAAATTAAAAAAGAAAGAGTGATGTTAAAAATGGAGTGACTAGAGAGAGGAAGTTTATTCAATTAGCAGTTGGACATCATAAGACTTGTTATTTAGTAGTGAATTTGGGAGAACATGCATCAGGAGCCAAGGCCTTGCAGAGAAACAAGCAGAATCAGGAAGGACAATTCCAGAACATGTGTGTTCTTCCAGCTGCAGACCTGAGGGTGTTTGACTGGGTGACACACTGCTGGGGCTCACCTTGCTGACAGAATGTAAGAAGAAAACTCATGCAAATAACACAGGCAGTACAGGAGGTGGCCCTGATGACATCTGGAGGGGGAGAATTTGAAAAGGTTACAATGCTGACATACTCTTGAGAGTTGATGGGAAAATGCTACTGTATTTCTCTCAGCAGTTTGGTCACAACCAGGGCCAGTTCCACCGGGAAATGGTTTTCTCCAGGAGTGTGGGGGGGGCATGTAAATTGGCGGAGACCCCTGAAATAGCAGCAGCTTCTGTGTGGGCTGCTTCCCTGTCCCTTGTTATAGCAGGGTGAAGACCATGGGCAGGGGGAGATGTGGTGGAAACAGGGCTCGAAGGCAACAAACAAGATTTAAGGTTGTGTAAGAACATATGAAGTTCACTTTAACACTTTTATTAGCAGAAGAGGAGGAGGAGGAAGATGAAGACCAATACAAAGAGGAAGAGGAAGAAGAGGAGGAGGAGGAGAGAGAAGAGGATCATCTTCAGTATCAACCAAGAGGAAATGCTGTGTGGGCATCTGTTAAAACAAATATTGATATCTATTTTGAAAGTTGTCCACAACACATGTAGAGTAAAATAAGTAAGCTGAAAATCAATATGCACACTGTAATTATGTTTTTTGTGGAAAAATCTGTGCATATTGTGTGTGGGGGGGGTACATGGGGACTTAAGGAACTTTTAGAATTTATTTATTAAAAATTGTGGATTTGTTCTTACATGTTTAAACTTCAGTCAATTTCAAAGTACTTTCCGTGTGATGCAATACATCTATTGAGACACTTTTTTTGCTGACAAAAGTTTTCGAACTTGTCAATTTTGATGCCTTTCAGTGCTTCTGCCTTTTTTTGTTTTACTTTTTCTACATCAGCACAACTTTTCCCTTGGAGGACTTTTTCATCCAGGGAAACAAAAGAAAAGTCACTCAGGGCATGATCAGATAAATAGGGCCATGGGGCACAGGGGTCACGCCATTTGGGGTCAAAAACTGCTGAACACTCGGTGTGGTGTGAGCGGGTATGTTGTCATGGCGGAAGAACCAGTCACCTGCAACTTAGGGCATTGCTTTCACAAATCATGACCCAAGATTTTCAGAACTTCAGATGAGAACTTTGGTTGATCGTTTGATCTGGAGCAACAAATTCTGAGTGTACTACCAAGGGTCCACCCTCCAAAAGATAATTCTAGTTATTTTGGGTCCTCCTCGTATATGCATCTACATATTCATAGGACAATATCTGAACACATTTGCCCTAAGAAGTGTAATTGTTGCCTTGAGGGTGAAGCTAGAGCAAAAGCGAGGGGTGAGGAGTAGGCTTCACACACACACACACACACACACACACACGCACACACATACGCACACGCGTGTGTACGCATGTGTGCTGAAACAAGAACAGCAAAGCAATTGCCCATCTGCCAAGTATTTCATATATACCCACCTGAATTTTTCTTCTGTCCGTAATTTTTGCTATTTAGCTTTTTTTAATCCAACAAATTTTATAGTGTGCAGAATCTAACTTTAACAAATAGCCAATTATTCTAATATCATTTACTGAATACTTCTTCCATCTCCTATCCACTTTACATGCTGCACTTATGGTGCCAGATTTTCTGCCCTTTTTGATTTTGAGAGCTTGAAGATTTTTTCACTCTTTATGCCTCTCTCATTGTGCAGAGACCTGTAGAGTTGTATGCCATAGGCAGTGCTTTAGGCGCTGAGGATGCAGAAGAAAACAAACAGGAGTTGCCGCACACCCCAGTGGCTGCCGCACACCCCAGTGGCTGCTGCTCCGCATGATGTCTGGTTGCCAGAGCAAACTGGGGCCCATCACCTGTGTTTCTGGTCGCG